AACTCGACTAAAATTTAAAAATTCATCAACTAATTACTAAAATTTTTGAGTTATTCAATTTGTATTTTATAACTCGATTTAAACTTAAAATTTTTCGAATCGAGTTTATAAAATTACAACTTAAAACCATTTCGAATCGAATTTTTTTTAATTGAAATTGAGTTAAAAAATCAATTATTCTAGTCGAATTTTATTTTCCCATTTGTCTTCTCATCCAAAATTATTTCGTTTTCATCCTTCTTGGAAGTCGCAAAAACCAACCTTGGTAAATATCATTTTTTTGAAAATCAGAAACCCTAATCCGGACAGAACCCTAGGATTTACCCTAACCGGACCCGGACCCGGACCCGGACCCAGACCCAGATCCAGAAACTACTCTGCTTAGGTCTATCTTTCCTTCTCTACATCTTCACTATTTTCCCAACGTCTTTTGCTTTTTGTTAACTGTTGTCATTTTTCTTTTCACTAGGAAGTGTGCTTCTGCTTTTAGCATAGCTAAGGCAGCAATGGAGGTGGTTAGTTTCAGTCCCGTTGAAAAGAGCATTTGGGTATGCTCTGTAATGGAAACTTCGTTGGCCGAGACTTTAGTTCTGGCTGGAAAGTCTCTTGCTTGCCTTCTCATGCTGGTATATTAACTCTCTTCTTTGTAAATATTTTCCCCCCTAGTTTGAAACTCGTGTTGTTTGCTTCATTTGTTATGCTATACTTTTTGGGTTTTGTCCCAAAAACATTATATTTATTTGTTTTTAAGGTTATGCTGCTTGTATTTTGTTCTTCACCCCACACCCACCCTAATTACTGAATTTGGTAATTGACTCGACCCTCTCTTTGTCTTCAGGTAGGTTTTTTAGATACTAGAGTGTTAGAGTTACTTCATCTTCTGTTATGAATTTGTACATGGTTGTTGTTGTTGTTAAGGGCAAGCTTTACTTTCAGCGATTGAAATTGTGTGGGCCACCTCCTGGGGGTCATAAGTTTTCCTCTTATTTAGAATAGGCGTTGGTGGAAGATTCCACTTGTTTGCACCTTTTGTTTTCTCTTTTAATTGAGTTCATTACGTTTTAGTAGCTTTTTGATGACTGAAACTTGTACTTTCCTGAAAATGCTGTTTTTTTTAATAATAAGTTTAGCCTAAGCTTTGTTATAATAAATAATATGATCTTCTTGCTACTAGAAAATGGTATGCCGTTTATTGTATTGTTGTCTGCAATTGAACATTACCATCTTCTTTAACATCCAGTGATGGCTACAGATTCTCTTTTAATTGAGTTCATTACGTTTTAGTAGCTTTTTGATGACTGAAACTTGTACTTTCCTGAAAATGCTGTTTTTTTTTAATAATAAGTTTAGCCTAAGCTTTGTTATAATAAATAATATGATCTTCTTGCTACTAGAAAATGGTATGCCGTTTATTGTATTGTTGTCTGCAATTGAACATTACCATCTTCTTTAACATCCAGTGATGGCTACAGATTCTCTTTTAATTGAGTTCATTACGTTTTAGTAGCTTTTTGATGACTGAAACTTGTACTTTCCTGAAAATGCTGTTTTTTTTAATAATAAGTTTAGCCTAAGCTTTGTTATAATAAATAATATGATCTTCTTGCTACTAGAAAATGGTATGCCGTTTATTGTATTGTTGTCTGCAATTGAACATTACCATCTTCTTTAACATCCAGTGATGGCTACAGATTCTCTTTTAATTGAGTTCATTACGTTTTAGTAGCTTTTTGATGACTGAAACTTGTACTTTCCTGAAATGCTGTTTTTTTAATAATAAGTTTAGCCTAAGCTTTGTTATAATAAATAATATGATCTTCTTGCTACTAGAAAATGGCATGCCGTTTATTGTATTGTTGTCTGCAATTGAACATTACCATCTTCTTTAACATCCAGTGATGGCTACAGATTCTCTTTTAATTGAGTTCATACGTTTTAGTAGCTTTTTGATGACTGAAACTGTACTTTACCAATTATCAAGGAACTTCCGATGGGTGTTGTTTTGCATGTCAAAATAAATTTTTTCTTCTCGCATAAAATAAAGGAAATTAAATATAGTATAGGAGAAGTAAGGGTCGATCCCACTGAGACTAAGGAAGACGATGAAATTCCTGGCTTTTGATTTTGACAATAAAATTGAGGGGGGGGGGATTGGCTGAAGAGAAATGATAAGGAATGCTTTGACTCACATTCTTCGGATCATCGAAATAGATTTACCTTTCAGGATTCACGTCGGTTATTTTGTCTATAAAGACAGATCCTTGCGACTAACTTGTATACCAAATGCCCAAGTGCAACTCTTAGATCTCGGATTTGAAAATTGATTAATCAACATTAATTGTTGTAGATTAAGAACAACTTAAGTGCATAAAAACCGACCCGAATAGTTGTTTCCATACAAATCTTTTCCGATCTCAATTCTCATTAGCAACAATTTGCTAGTTGTGTTCCTAGGAAGTTCATTTGCTATCAATTAGCCAATCTCTCCGCCCACATGTTTAATCGTAACAACATTCTAACCATCGATTATCTTAAGTTTTGAAAATTTGTTTTGATTTGAAACAAGCGCAAAAGAAATTAAGAAATGTATCCGAAGCTACTTAAGTGCTTTTCAATTCTCACATTAGAATTGAGTCATCGCCTAGCCCTCGGCTTAGAAGAAAATTAGCTAAGCATGACCAAAGTCATACTTAGCGTTTTAAAAACAAAGCTTAAAAGAAAATAACAAAGAAAAAATGTTTTATTATTGAATGAATGATGAAAAGGGCTTACCCTTAGTGGGTATTTATAGCCTTCTAAAACCTTAGATTAAGCATAAGATAATTCTAAAAATAGTTTGAATAAATTCCTAAAGATAATACAAAAGTCTTGAATTTTGAATTGCTTGAAATGTTTAGCTGTTCGTCCACCTTCTGGAAGCTGTTGACTGGACATTGCTGACTGGGTCTTCTAGAAGCTGGTCATCTCACTGCCACGTCAGCATTTTATGCCCACTATTCCAGCTTTGATTTTAGAACAAAAAATGCAGTTTTCGGCCTTTTTAAGCACATTTTCTAGAAGTCATTGCCCTGTACAGAAAACACATAAAAATGTCCAATTCAGTAGTAAACATGAACAAACAAAGAACATTTAAGCGCAAAATAATCACTAGTCAACTTCGGTTTTAAAACATTAGGGGGCTAGTTGATTGGGTAAGATTGCTTTTGTTTATCATTTAATACATGACTACGGATTCGGGAGAGCCTGGGGTAAAATTGTTGCTTCTGTTTTAGACATGAAAGTGTATCTGGTTGGCCTTGTTAGCTTATACCCCACCAAGTTGATATCAAGTTTTGAATATATGGGTTGATTTGTGGCATCAAGGTTACTTAGTTTGGGAAGTCTGGATCATCTTTGTTTGATGATGAAACTGGTTATTTTAATCATTTGAATAAGTTGTTAACATGTCAGTATTTAGAAAACGTTGGCTTGCAAATAATCACATACTGAGTTGGTTACAGTTGCACCTCCATGTCTGCGGACCATTTTTCCTCTGATCTTTTGATTATGTTTTGGGTGGTAATATCCATATAATGTCAACCTGAATTGATGCAAAAACTTATTTTTGTTGCTCTGTAGCTTTTTTAAATGTGCATAGAAGCTTGTGCATATCAGAAGCTTAGATAATTTATTTACTTATTATTATAGCATTTTGCTTAGGATACTTTCTGACATGATTTAAGATGCTGCAGACGGGATCGGTGCTGAATGATGTGAATGCATCACTTAATTTGACTGCAGTAGATCAGAGGTAATGGAATTCCTTTTCTTTTTCATCTTAATTTACCACCCATCAATCATTGGTGAGGAAATCTGACAGCTGGTGGGATTGACTTCTTTTTCAGGTTTCCATTTGATGAAATTCTAAAAAGGGAACATCCTGGCCCAGAAAACAAAGACGGCAGTGATACAGAGGATGATGACGAAGATGAAGAGGACAATGTAGATGATCAAGAAGATGATGGAGATGATGAGGATTTCTCAGCAGAAGAGAGTGAAGAGGGGGATCCCGAGGATGAGCCTGAAGCCAATGGGAATGGAGGGAGCAGTGAAGAGGATGATGACGGGGACGATGATGATGAGGATGATGACGACGCTGAGGATGAAGTAGAGGAGGAAGAAGAAGATGAGGATGATGAAGTTCCTCAGCCGCCCTCGAAGAAGAGGAAATGAAACTGATCCTTGATATTCAGATATTCTACTATCTCCTTTTTTCCCTCTAGGTTGGGAAATTTTAGGGGAGGGAGAATTCAGTTTGTTTGTTTACTTAAGAGCCGAAGATTCACCATTCCAAACGAATTCTATTTACGGCATTTGTCATGTAGTCATGTTACAGGTAGTTATGATACATCACATTGTATCTTGAACTAACTGCCGAAGCCTATTTGTTTAGGAGAACTTCGTATTGCTCGATTAGGTTGTGGGCTTTTGTAGCGTTCCCGGTAGCGTTTGATCAAGCAATCAACTGTAAGGTGGAAACCGAAGTTTATTCAATTATGTCAAATTAGCATTATGTAACATGCTGGTATTGCACAAGATGTGGCTTTCCCACTGTGCTTTTCAGCTAATTCATTTAGTAGGTTGCAAGTGACATACTGCAAGTTACCTCACAATTTTATGTCAATATCCGGCAAAACGAACTTGTTGCTTTGAATATGTGGGAGAAGAAACCACCGCATATATTGGCTTAAGTTAATCCGAAAAGTATGAAGTGTATCGGTGTCCAGAAGAGAAGGTAAGAATAGCTTTCTTCTCTTGTGATATTTCTAATTACCTAATAGAATAAATACTGTAGTTCGAACTAATTTTTAGCTTGAACGTGACGAATGCTATCTCTTTCCCGCAACTCGACTGTTTAACAGTCGAGAGGTTTGTGCATTATGCTTTTCAAAGATTAGTACTGATTGCCAACTCTAATAAGCATCTTCACAAAAATTGAGAACTGAAAATTTCGAGTACGATATTTGACCAAAACTGTTGCCTGGATTTACAGATTATTTCAAGAAAAGTGCAGTTTTAATCATACGTGTGTATTTCCTACGTAGGTATATGAAGAACTACCAACTATAAACATCGAACGCGGTTGACTTGTACATATGCGCGGTTGAAAGGGATACCTTGAACACTGTATATCAGTTGGGATGCTTCAATTGGATAAAAAAGAGCATGTAAAGCGCAGAAACAAGGTCAATCACTCTCTGAAAAGTTTTGAGGCTTACTGCTGGCAAAAGCCAACCAGACAATCGTACCAGTCAAGTAGAAGAATATGGACGGTGCAAACAAGGACAACTGCACAGAACAGAATTCCAATTATTTTTGTACGGAATAGGGAGAGGCATCATTTCCAGTTATAAATAAAAAAGATTAAACTTACACCCCATGAATGAGTTGAATCGAGAAGAAAACCAGTAAGGGCAACACCAACAATTCCAGGCACTGCTCCGACAGTGTTTGTAATGCCCTACGAGGAAAATACGAAGAAAGAACCCTTTAATGTGATTCACAGAGAAGCATGCTTAAATGTAACTGTCTATGTATGATTGCAACATTCGGAAGATAAAAGAAAGTCGACAACATGCTCCAACTTTATAGCAGGAATGCACGAGTATCTCTTTTACATGCCACTAGTCAGTTTAAGATCCTAGATTTCAAGTACGTAACCAATCAATTTGCAATTTATAAACCTACATACCAAAAGTATACTTGCATATTCAGGCGATATATCTTGATGTGTACAATACAGCCCTGCAAGCATTTGCGGGGTTGGGAGTTAGTACCAATACTGTATGTAGTAACCCACAAAATAAAGGCATATCATGCAAAATAACTGTTAATTTTCTATAACCAGAACAAGGAACTAGCTGGATTAGTCACTACCTGACAAGGCAAAACTGGAGAGAGCTAATCCACAGGAGAGAATGCCCACAATTTCCCATGGTTGCAGTCCTAGATCCAGAGAAGATAGAATCATGCAAGTTGCAGGAGACAAAAAGGAAATTGCTTGGCAGATCTTTCTCACCTGCAGGCACAAAGTTAAGGCCATCATTAAGATTCAAATCACAAATAACATATTCAAAAGAACAATTCAAGCTAGCTTCTTCTTCTCGTGGGTTAAATACCGCCAGAGGTCCTTAAAATTTTAACCCTAAATATTCCAAGGAACAAATATCACTTCTTAGCTTATATAGATTAACTCCAAAGATGATCTAAGAAAACAACCTATATTAGATTATGGGCATGTCGTATCATTTGTTGCAACATGAAGCAACTCATTAAAGAAAGTTAAAATTATCACATGCCATACCGTAGTGGCCTGAACTCCATTTGTGATTAAATTGTCAGCAAACTGTGCAGCTATGCTTGTCACAAAAACGGAAGCCAGGGGAGGAAGGATTGAAACCTGCAGTTACATAGCGTATTGTTTCTAACTAGTAAGAACATAAATAATTCAACACAGTCTGGGAATGCACGGTAACTGCTATAAGAACTGGTGTATCTGATGCAAGAAAATACACAAAATTTCTGAGTTCACTATCATCATTCATCAGAGAAACTACAGAATGGTTAGGCAGAATTGGCTTCAGAGTTTTTTTTTGTTTTTGTTTAGGAAAATATATGCTCATAGATTTACATAGTATTCTTCCAATACACATGACAAAACTTGAAGGCCAAAGCTATTGCACATTCTTCCTTAAATCTACAGAAGAATGGTCTAACAGAGAATACAAATACTTTAATCTTACCCATGCAGCTTCTCTCAAATTCAGATCCAGCTCCTCACTGCATGTCATGTAAAACAGCAGTTAAATTACATGAGTGAAATAATATAACAAGAAAATAGAATGACAAGTGCTAAATAGTTAATTAAAAAATTGTGAAAAAACAATACAGATTATGCACGAAAGGGTGGATTAAAACAACCCCCGCGAGACTCTTAGTACAATGACACAACAAGCGTAGTATCACTTAAGGTCGAAATATACAAAATTCACATGATCCTCTAAAACACTCACCTTGTTGAATGTTTTGCTTGTCACAAAAACGGAAGCCAGGGGAGGAAGGATTGAAACCTGCAGTTACATAGCGTATTGTTTCTAACTAGTAAGAACATAAATAATTCAACACAGTCTGGGAATGCACGGTAACTGCTATAAGAACTGGGTGTATCTGATGCAAGAAAATACACAAAATTTCTGAGTTCACTATCATCATTCATCAGAGGAAACTACAGAATGGTTAGGTGCAGAATTGGCTTCAGAGTTTTTTTTTGTTTTTGTTTAGGAAAATATATGCTCATAGATTTACATAGTAATTCTTCCAATACACATGACAAAACTTGAAGGCCAAAGCTATTGCACATTCTTCCTTAAATCTACAGAAGAATGGTCTAACAGAGAATACAAATACTTTAATCTTACCCATGCAGCTTCTCTCAAATTCAGATCCAGCTCCTCACTGCATGTCATGTAAAACAGCAGTTAAATTACATGAGTGAAATAATATAACAAGAAAATAGAATGACAAGTGCTAAATAGTTAATTAAAAATTTGTGAAAAAACAATACAGATTTATGCAACGAAAGGGTGGATTAAAACAACCCCCGCGAGACTCTTAGGACAATGACACAACAAGCGTAGTATCACTTAAGGTCGAAATATACAAAATTCACATGATCCTCTAAAAACACTCACCTTGTTGAATGTTTATATGAAAGGGGTAAAATACTGAAATGCTGTGAACATACCTAAAAAAGGTAGGAAGCCAAGATAAACAAGTAAAATGACCCCAACTTCCGCAAAAATGAGCATATATCATAGCCCATACAGCTGGACTTCGGAAAAAAGCCTTCCATGGTACATCCTATGTGACAAAAATAAATAAGAAACCAAGCAGAACATGACCAAGGCCAATATAATGAAACATTAGAAGCTGCTACTAATAAAATGAGATTATCAATAGTTTTCGACTGAGGCCACAAGAAGTTTATTTTGTGATGATAACAAAAGTAGTCCAAAAGCAATTGAACTACACATTACCCCAATGCAATAAACTGTACAATATACATAACCTTTTTTCTTAATAATAAATCTTACATTAAGTTATAAATCTAGTAAGCATATTCTGATACCAATGACCATGAACCACATTGGGAAAGGATTCTATATGCCTCATTAAGAGTGAGCAAAACTCGACTCGAAAAAAATTCAATTTCAAATCGAGTTGTATTTTACAACTCGAATAACTCGAAATTTTAGTAATTAGTGGATTTATTTTCAAGTTTGAGTCGAGTCCTTAGACTTTGTATGAGATATGTATATCACATATGAAAAAAAATACGAAGAAATATATTTGTATTGTATATATGGTTATAGGAAGTCACTTAAATTAGAATCAAATAATATTATGCTATAAAAAATATTTACAATTAAAATTAAACAAAAAATCGACTCGACTCGAAAAAAAATTTCAAGTCAACTCTGAGTTGTAAAATAGGACTCGTCAACTAGAATAACTCGAAATTTTTTTACTCGACTCGATCGAACGCTCACTCCTATGCCTCATAGCCAGCTGCACCAACTAAGATAAGGCTCTTAATAAGCTGAATATGCAACCGGCATATGTTCCACAAATCAGAACTATTTTTCAAATGAAACCACTAACAATTTAATATACAGTTGAAGTAAACCAAAGCACAGGAGATCAAATAATCACAACCAAATCAGCAAGGGTACCTTAGATGATAAAAGTATCCACCAAAACCTAAGACATCAAAAACATTAGACACCATACCTTCGATGAGACACGCAACTCTTCTAGGGTGCTATTCCATGAATTTTTCATCTCATCTAATTCTTTTAGAGAATCATTCCATGACTTGTGCTGATTAGCAGATCGTAATGCTTTCATATGCCAAAAGTAGGGATCATTAGTACATTGAACTGATTGAAGAGGAAATCAAGGAAAAAATGAAAGAGTGAAAGATCAAACACAATTAATAACAATTTTAAAACATTCATTGTAGCATTCTATGATTAAGTTCTACGGAACTACCATGTTTTGAGAATCTTCTGACTGGTTAGTTAAATTTGCAAAATATATCATGTATCTAGTATCAGGTTTACCCATAGTCAACGACATGGTTCATATTACCCTGTTTTCTATTCAAGACCGTTTAGTTTCTATGCATGTCCTTTTGTCTTCCTCTTCTATCTTGACCGATAACCACTATGAGACTTAGGAATTCTAACAGGAGCATAATGGTCTGGTAGAAGGCACTTCAAGTGTAAAATTTGAAAATGGACTTCAAAAGACTTGTTCATATAAGGCTAAAGATCATTGAGAAGGCAAATATAGATTAATCCTTCAAGAATTCAGAAGTCAGGAACAAGTGCAATTCTATATTCGCAGTGCTTAGATGCCTATCAGCAATTTGTTCTTGTTACCCATTCCTAATGGAAAAGCCCTTGAAACTAAATTACACTCCCGAGGGTCGTAGTTTCAAGTGAAGTATGTTTAGTTGTCCTTTCCTATTCCTCCAGGACTCTAAAGGTTCTTTGATGTTATCTTTTTCGATTCCAATCGGTTGCGGATCCCCGGTGCAGGCGGAAATTTTGGCAATAAAGCATGCTTTAGAGTTGTTCTTAGAGTCAAAGTGGTTCAAGGAAGCAGAGTAAATAGTTGAATGCGACTGTGAAGCAATGGTGAAGAGGCTTCTGTATCCGGTTAATGTCCCTCCTGAATGGGCGGATATTCTTCGCCCTATTGCGACAGTAGTCCTTCGAGAAAAGGTTGTAGTTAAGTACATTCCTAGAATTTTGTAACTTGGCGGCTGACGAACTAGCAAAGATGGCAATAGGGGCAGCACCGGTGCAAGGGGTGATGTTTCCGTAGCTGACTAGCCCTCGGGGTCTCCTTTTATTAGTAGGGGGTCTTGAGTCTGGTCGGTTGGTTTGTTATATGGCCAGGCGTGATCGCCATTTTTGGAATTTTTGGGGTCATAGTTTTGGTCTCTAGTGCGTTGGGCGTGACGGTGTTTTTTGGTTTGTTTTCTGTCCCCTGGATTGTTTCCATTTCGAGTTTGTTTAAGGTTGAATTAGATCCAGTTTAGACATTGCTTGGGTGCACTCTTTTTACTCCACTTAGGCTTAGGGAGGTTTTTTAACGAGGCCCCTAGCAATGTATGTACCCTGCTTTATTCAGTAATAAAATTTCCTACTTTTCAAAAAAAATAAAAAAAATAGAAGATTGCATCTATGGTGTTGACAGCTACAATGGAGAAGTTGAAGGGGACAGCAAGACTAATATTTTCAACAAGGGTCAGATATATAGCCAATGTAAGGAGCTAAAATTGAGCTAAATATAGAAATTAAATCATATATCCCCAAGTATCCATCAGCAATTTACCAACCAATGTAGTTGTTAGTTACACATGCATGTAGACTGTAATTACCATTATCTTAAAAATACCTCAGGAAAATGCTCTACTTTTCATGATCCGTACGAGGAAAGGAAAAAAAGGCAATTCACTTTTTCGAATAAACAATAATGAATAGGAAATGGATGCTTACGTGCAACATGCTCAACTTCAACTGCATTTAAAGCTCGGTCTTCTCCTAGAAAATGAAATCCAAAATACCTTCAATATTTTGGCAAGAAGGTCCAAGTCAAATTTCCTTTCCATCATTGAAAAATAATATTCAAAACAAAAAACCTAAAAAATTAGGTTGCCCAAGAACTCTCAGAAGGCAGATTCTTGGAACAAAGGAAAACCAACTTTTAACTTCTATGTTTAAGAAAATATGTTCTCCTATATGTTTGCGTATTGCACAGATAGAAAGAACACCTACTCTAAACCAGAAGTAGCATATTTGTAATTTTAAAGATAGTAACATACCACCACATCCCCAGTAAGCCAAATATATAAAATACGGATTCCCACCCAAAGTTCTGGATAAGTGTAGGAGCTACAAGGAGCCTGCAACATTCGCAAACAAAGAAAAGAAGACAAAAATTAAATTGAACACTCATTTAACCCAACTGGACTGCATTTAACAAACAAAATTGTGGATGGTACAGTTAGAAAAAGAAAAAGCAATTTGATGGCTACTAGCCTTAGTTTGCTGATACACAAAATTAGTTTCTAACCTGATCTGGTTTCTTTTAAATGATACATGAAAAAATAATACTCATGTTTAACATCCCAAAGATATAGTCCAAAAAGGATGTTAAAGAAAAAATACATTCCATCAGCTTAAGAAGGTGTATTATTGTTCTTTACAACACTCCAAATAAGGACAGATTTTTTCACTTTCTCTTCTAATTTAATGTACTTTGCACATATTAAAGTTTTTTTGTTCACTTATTTCAATAAGTGTCATTACTCGTTCCCTTAAACAAATTGTGAAGTTACATTTTGGCGCACATGTAAGGAAAATTGAAGCGGTTTTTTGGTCCATAACATGAATCACTTAGTTGAAAATTAATATTTATTTGTCTACTTAGAAACATACCCTATAACACTTCCCACACTTAACCCACCAAAGACAAATGATACAGCCCTGGACCTTTCTTCCAAAGGTATTGATCTGCATGTTGAGTCAGACAATACCGACAAAAGGAAAAAAGAAAAATACGGTTAGTTATTTAGGGATGAACAATATCACAGAAAGTGCACTAGCGGCACAAAGTATCCATATACCACAAGGCCAGATAACAATATTAGATTCAAAATGCTTTCTAGCTTTGGAAAACTATAAAAGTTCATCTGCATCTCCGAGTGTAATTATGTAAGGAGAGAGAAGAAAAAAATCAATTCTCCCACAGCACAGAGATGGGTAACTGATTCTTACCTCCTGACCTGAAAATGAATCTCCCAAGGATGTGTATAAACAATACAAGATTTTAATGGTGTATATAGCATGCATACAACCATATATAATGACATATACAAATCCCTGGGGTGATTTAATAATTTATAATAGATTTACAGAGGTTGTTGAGAAATCTAAAACTTGAAAAGAAGACTTCATCTATAAAAATGGAGTAATAGATTTATGAAGAAAACAGCAAACTTAAGATATCTCATCAAACAGAGTCCAAAAAAAAAAAATCAACATAAGCATACAGAAAGATTTGTATGCATTTGATTTTACTAAAATCATTAATCAATAAAGTCCAGTTTCAACATGAATTATGCTAAAAAAAATTGTAGGGACTATAATTACAAGGGGAAAAGGATAGCTGAATTTTGATGGTAGTAAAACCATGGCCAGGAAGTTTCAATTCACCAATGTACTGCATGTGGACAGCTTAATACAGCAAATGAAAAGTATAAAGTTTGGGCAAACATGCCCTGAAGGTTACTCGTGAAACAACATGAACTGTAGGTCATAAAACAACATGCTCTTAGAGTATAGATGCCAAACATACCTGGCAATAAGGTCAGTTGCAGCTGATGGAGAAACACCTTCTCCTATACCGACCTAGATTTACAAAAGAAGCTCCAACATAATTGCATAATCATATCAATGAGCAATACATTAAACAGCTGCACAGCTTCGGTGAAACTTTAGAATAAATGATATGATAATAAAATCTAAGATTCAGTATAACCTGAACACTTTCGGTTAGACAATCAAGAGATTTGAATAAATGGACTAGTAATCCTGACAGTAACTAGATAACGACAATTGAAGAAAAAATCAGAAAAAGAATGGCTACATACCAAAATCCTTGACAAGAGTAGTCCAGGCATGAATCCAGCAAGAACAGGAACAAGTGCTGTAGACAAGGACCAAGCCAATACTCCAATCTTAAGAACTTTTCTGCATCAACAAGAAGCTAGCAGGTAATAATATGAAGCGTATATGGGACTTTCAAAAGAAAATTGAATTTTTGGTCATTCAATAATCTATGGAAGTCATCTTTTTAACATCAAACAGATGACAGATTGTTTGGATACTGCTTATTTCAATAATCTATGTTACTTTTCTTTAACAATTATGAATGGATGATTAAGAGCCCAGTATATGGAGATGTTCTTGGTCATTTGTTAATCTGAGCTCATCATACATTTGATGATAAAAGGTAATTTGCAAAGCAGGTCCAAATGTATGCTTAATTAAGATATGTAGAATAAATACATTAAAGGGAGAAGTTATCATTAATCAAGAGACATGAAAATATCCTCAAATAAAATATACCTTAGGATTCAGGTATATCTGAGCTAAATTTGTTAGATTATCATCAATGCTCACAGATGGCGCAAAATATCCTCAAATTCTTAATGAGGTCCTAAATTGTGGATAACTTCATGATAACCAGTTTTCTCTTTTAGCTTTTCAAATTTGAAATGAAAACTTTCTAATCCATATTGCAAAAAAGCATGAATAAAGTGGAAAAAATGCACATTTGAACTAAAGCCGATGTCAAAAAAAAAAAAAACTAACCTTCCACCAAAAAGCTTTGAAAGCCAACCCCCTGGCAACTGACTCAATGCATAACCCCAGAAGAACGATGATTGCACTAATCCAGCTACTGATGAATTCCACCCGAACTGATGTGACATTGGAATTATAGCAACACTCAAGTTCACCTATCCCATTTAACAAACTTAACAAAATTAGTTCAACCCAAACATAAAAGTAAATAATGGAGGCTCGAAGCAGTTGCCTTTTTTAATACATAATTTTTGCTATTTTCTTAGGCTTCCAAGAATAGTTTCTATAAAGAAAAATCATAATTGATTAAAAAATCCCAAATTATTAAACTTAGCACCCAATCGGACAAATGTTCTACATAGAAGTAATATCACTTTCTTTCTTACCCAAAAAACAACATTTTTTTAGTTCTTCAAAACAGTAACAATTAAATACAATACAACCTAACAAGAAACTTTGAACAATAAAACTTTCACTAAGAATTAATATTGCAACTTGTTTTTCTTCATTTCAAATGTCCCCAAAGTTCTACATGAAGTTCTATGGAGGAAATCAACGTTCTTCATTGCAACAGGTCACTTTTTGCTTCATAGTATATTTCTTATGAGTTACGAACTACAAACTGTTTGTTAAATTGCCTAAGAGAATAGAATCAAAGCAAAAGAAAATATCAACAACCAACCTTATCCATGTTGCAAATAACAAAGGCAAGTGAAGTGGTACCGATGAGCTTATATCTCTGAGGAATATTCTTCCATGGAGGCCAAACCAAATCAAAACCAGCTTCTCTTGACGCACTTTCCCGACCCAAACCTGCTTTTTTGTCCAGCTCCTCGACACGTACCCCATTTACTAACCCACCACTGCTAGCACCAGCCTTTTCTCTCTCGTCTTTAACATTCTCTTTCTCCTTGATATTACATAAAACTTTGAAATTCAATCGATGCTTTGAAGGAATTAACTCCAAGTGAAGATTCTTCCGGGAAGTTCTGCTCAAAAAAATCGAACTTTGGGAAGTGCTGGCGTTATGAGGAAGAAAACAAATGTTATCTAATCTGGTGGTGAATTTTGCCATCTCTGTTTTTTCTTGTGTTGAAGAATGAAAAGAAAGGAAGGGAAACCGAGTTTGAGTATTCAAAACGGAAGTTGAAGGTGTGATGATTAGGAGGGAAGAGAAGAGAGTTTTTCTGGGAATCGGTTGAGGACTTGAGAAGGCCACGAGGGAATTGGTTTGTGGTCTGGATTACTTCAAAAAGGCATCTTTAAGAATATTTGATTCTCGGGTCAAGTTTTGTAGGACCCGTGAAATCCGGGACATTGTACACTTGGCTTCTTCTGATTGGTCTAGTTTGAAAAATACAGAATTTGCATAATTAAAAAGTTGTTTCGAATGCAAAATGGGTATTAGTGTAACTTCGCCACAGCTTATGGGAAAAAGCCTCATTCTTTTTCTTTTTTTTTATCTAAAGTTAAATCATAGTTGCATTTCTAATAATATGATAAATATATTTGTATTCATAATTTAATATTTCCTAAAGTTAAACCATATTTTGACATAACTTTGGCATAAACCACACCAGTCCACCAAGAATTATTGCCAGTATGAGGTGCCTCCATTGCCTAAAAGTGCTCAAGAGATGTCCATTAAAGGTGACGAGCCTCCCCCCAGAATTTCATGCCAAAGAAAGCAGTTTGGGATGGATGCACTGATTCTTCTGGTCTTTCTGCATCAATTTCAGAACAAGACAGTCATTGATCTTGGAGTTCTGCTATCCTCAATATATGAACTGGAAAAACTCAGATTGGCTCTGTGTATTTTCTCATGAATTTCTGCATATTTTTCTCTTGATCGCTTTAGTTAGTGACGCATCTAAAAAATTCTTGAGAATTGACACACATGTTAATTATTAAAAAATTTCGTATGGAATGGATACAAAATTTTAAAATGAACACATATGCTTTACATCTGCTAATTCATTTAGCTAGTGCTCACCCTGGATATCCTTTACATCTGCCTTAACTAGCTTGCTCCAAAACTTAGGTTTGGAGCATCTTTCGTGCTGAATGAATCATATTATATTGGAGTTGTCACGCTCCCACAACTTAGGGGCTGTTTGTTTGCCTCTTAATGGAACCATTCAGAGCTCAATTCAGCGCGTTTGTTTCGCACCTCTGAATGATTCAGTGCTGACTGATTCAACAAAACAGTGTTGAATGATTCAGCACATAAGTACATTCTGAATGATTCAGAGTCATTATCAAACAACATGTCACATTCAGAGCTAATTCATACAGAGCCTCTAAATCATTCAATATTTGAATCATTCAACGCTTAATCATTCTAAAATAAATAAACAGCTCCTTAGTTTTCTTAGTTTTTACGTCGACAGCTTTAAAAGTATATATATAAAAACAGAAAAAAATTATATGTTTTATGATTTTATATCCATGTTAAAAGATCAACAAAAACGATTAAGAGTGTCAAAATAAATATTTTAACTTATGATACGAATGATAAACATCTTTTTTTTTATTAACGTGCATACTTGTTTGGCATGCAGAAATCTAGTGCACGTTACAAGGTAATGAGTTGGATGGACGCCATGTCAGCAGGTACGTGTTATTTTATTCATCCGCTCTTGCATTTTCCTATAATGTCTCCGGAAAACAACACGTCGGTACATATAAACGGCCCCAAATGAAATTGCTGGCTGCATGTGAACCTCTCTCTACCCATCATACTGACCGTACAGTTCCCAGAACCCAAATATTCTCACAAAAAAGAAAGGGCTTTTGGGGTTATGGTTTACCTGGCCGTTTACTGTTTATCCAAACAACTTCATCTTTGGTAATTTACTATTGTTTGTTTCTTAATTTCATTTTTTTGTCTCCGTTAATTCATTATAATGGGAAAGAGACGGACAAGTTTCCGACATCACAGTCAGAAAAATCTTGGTCTCTTCCTTCTTCTTCTTCGGGTACGTTAATTTCTTTTCTTCTATTTATTTTGTTTCAATCTGTCTGAAATCTTTTCCTCTATCTTTGTCAACTGAATGGTCCGCAATGTTCCATTGGTTTTATCTTGTCTTTCTTTTATAGCCTTGGTTGAATATGGATGATAGCATGGATGGTGGAGATAGTTCTGTGAAGATGCATCATCATAAATCTTCTGTTGCTCAACGCCATTACAATCTTGGGCGTTCAATGTTTTCGAAACGATCACGCTGTTACTATGACCAGCACTACCAATGGCAGAACTCCGGTAACCATTCTAATCGATCAACTTCTCGTGGCAAGATTAGCCCTTTGCATGATGATCAGAAATTATCCTTCAAGTTCGCTGGCACCAACTCAGAGTCTGGATGTCAACCAGGTTTCATGCTGAGAATTTGATTCATAGCGTACGTGTGACGGTGGGAATTAATGTATTTTGACATATTAACTTAGTGTTCCAACTTTTGCAGATGGTAAGTTCCAAGCATCTGGGAGACCAGAAAGGATTAGGTCTAGTTTGTTAGTGATGGATGCAATATCACCCGACAAGATGAAGATGATTTGTGGCATATGTCAGAAGCATTTGAGTCGGAAACCATCTTTATTCGGAAACGCGTTGGCTTCTGAATTATCTGTTGTGGCGATTCTAGTTTGCGGGCATGCATATCATGCAGATTGTTTGGAACAGAGAACAAGTTTTGAGAATAGGTGTGACCCGCCGTGTCCGTTATGTTCTGATTCGCCATCACAAGTTTGATGCTTATACTAGAAAGGATAATTGTACATACAAATGTCATACTTAAATAGGGCATGATGAATGTAGGCTTTTTGTTGTAATCTAAGCTGAAAGCTCAGGATCTTAACCATGCATTGTATTGCTAAGATTTCAGCTAGTTGAATACTGTGAAGGCTTGATAAGCCTCTGCATGTACTCGTAAACCTATTTTACTCGGTATGCAAAGAGAGTAGGATATTGTATAAAACACTTTCAATACTAAAATTATATGGGTGATAACGTAAGACCGCATAGCGCAGTGGATTAGCGCGTTTGACTTCGGATCAAAAGGTCGTGGGTACGACTCCCACTGTGGTCGATTAATTTGAATTTTTCTATTAACAAGGTGGCAAATATCCAAAAATAAATTTTTATAGCCAAAATACTTAATCATTAATTTATTTTATGATCAAAACTAACAAATTTTCTGAATTTTTTAAATTTTGTTTATTCTTATAATACGTTTTACTTTTCTAATAAGTTTTTGTTTACTCTTATAATACATTTTTATTTTTTAATTATTTTTTAATAATTTTTTGTTTTAAGATTATATATATCATCACCTCTTCGATTACTAATTATTCAATCATCTTATTAATAATCTTAATGTGATTCACATGGTGAACTTGCACTCACTTCAGATATATCGTGTTTGAATAGATATTTTAATTTTCTATTTTTTTTGTATAATTCTATGTTTTTTCTTCAACAAATGCATTAGATTTTTGAAAGAATCATACGTACCCATATTGCTTTATTTATTTCAATGAAATTAAGTCAAATGATAGGAAAATCCCCGCATTAATTTACTGACTAATTCCAAAGTTCAGTTTACAGTTGCGTATTCTGACACAAGGACAAGAGAAGATCAAAATCTAGCAGAAGATTTTATATATAAATTAAATTTAAGCAAAATCGAAATAAATAGAATTGTTGATTTATTTTCTTTTTTCAATTTATTTGTTTAAATTCTTTGTGTTCTTCCATATTGGGTGGTAATTCAAACGTGAGTAACTTTCTGTTTGGTTAGATCTTTCTTTCGCTTTCCGGAATTTTCAATATTTTGTTTGATTAGCTAATTTTTTTAGAATTTTTTTTCTTAATTATCATACGTATTGATGATAACTGCCGTTTGCTTCCGCATTGCGTGTGCGATTTCGTTTGCGACGGGAATTATTTAAAATGTTGTAAGGGGTATAGTTTGTGATCGGAAGTGAGAGAATGTTTGGAGGGAGCAAGCAGAGTAGATTGAGGAAAGCTCTCGGAGCCATCAAAGATACCACCACGGTTTCATTGGCCAAAGTCCACAGTGAATATAAGGTGGATTTAGCTGTATCTAAGAATAACAACGATCGAGATGGTTACGATATGATCCTTATGGGTCGTGTATTGTTCTGTTTTACAGGAACTGGATATTGCTATGGTGAAGGCCACCGATCATTACGAACGCCCTGCAAAGGAAAAATACGTTAAAGGTAGATGCTCGATGTCGTATTCTAGTCTTCATGTTTTGCGGGAACTCTATGGATTTTCTTATAAATTAGACTCTCTTGCTTTTTCGCAGCGATTTTAGCTGCCGTTTCGGCTACTAGGCCTCGGGCCGATGTTGCCTATTGCATCTATGCTCTTGCACGACGATTATCAAGGACACGTAATTGGGTGGTATGCCGGATTACAGACATAGTGTATTACTATTCTTTCGCAATTCATAGTGTAATTGGGTGGTGTGCCGGATTACTGACAGTGTATTACGACTGAATGTTTGTTTGGCATCTAGGTAGCACTGAAAACTTTAATAGTGATTCATCGTGCTCTGAGGGAGGTGGATCCTACATTTCATGAAGAATTCATTAACTATGGCAGAAGTAGACGCCATATGCTTAACCTGTCTCATTTCAAGGATGATTCCAACCTAAAGAGTACCTTAATTGAGAATCCATTTTACTATTCATTTTCAGAGAGCTTAAATTCATTGTTCATGGAATGTTTTTTAAGTTTATTTAAACTATTTGCTGCACAACATGGGATTATTCTGCTTGGGTTCGCAGTTATGCCTTGTTCTTGGAGGACAGGTTGGAATGTTTCCGCATCTTGAAGTATGATATCGAGATGATCGGCCCAGTAGGAAGCTTATGTTCTATGCATAATGTCTACTTATTGAAACTGAACTATCTGGACATGTCATAGATGTAAATTTTCTTGCAGAGAACCAAAGGTTTGGACACTGCAGAGGCGCTTGAACAATTGACAGCTTTGCAACAACTTCTTTTCCGTGTTCTTGGCTGTCAGGTGAGTATGCAATTCCTCTTTCTTCTGTTGTTAGCCGTCTTAGTTCCATATCTCTTTGTGGAAACATTAATAGAATTTCTGTGCAGCCAATAGGGGCGGCCGCTCATAATCTTGTGATCCAGTTGGCACTTTCTTTGGTATGTTAATTGTCAAACATGGTACTCATCTATGCTCCCAATGAGTGTGGTTTGGAGATGACATTCTCTTGTGCCCTTATTTCATTTCAAACAGGTTGCTTTAGAAAGTGTCAATATTTATCGAGCTTTAAGTGATGGTACAATCAATCTCATGGACAAGGTAAGCTGTGCGGTTTTAACTATCTAAACAAGATGCTTTCCTTCCCGGTAAATCATATATATATATATATATTTACATATGACGCTCTGAACAAATGATAGTTCTTTGGCATGGACCGCCCTGATGCCATGAGAGCTTTGAATATATACAGGAGATCCAGGTATCAGGTAAATTGTTGTCCTAGTTTTGCTAATACTGTCTCCAGCATAAATGAAGAGGATTTAGAACTCAGTTTGTATTTTCAGGAGGAGGGGCTTTCAGAATTTTATGAAGTGTGTAAAAGACTTTATATTGGGCGTGGCGATATGTATATTAAGATAGAGCAGGTTAGGGACCTTCAACTTCGGTGCCTTCTGTGACAGATTCGCTTTGCCTTGAACTCTCATGAGTTATATGAAGAAACTAATTTTCATTTGACGTTTATGTTGAAGCCCCCTGCATCCTTTCTACAAGCAATGGAAGATTATGTAAATGAAGCTGCACAAGCTTCAACAGTGCGCAAAGATCAGGTATAAAAGATAATTTATACATATTTCTATGCCTTTGCATGCATGCAATTAGATTTAATATATGTATGCTGATGAATTTCTGCCAACTAAGCTATTATTCATATATAATATTCTATTACCATCTCTATGACATGTTTTCCTGTTTTGAATTTTGCTACTCTGTTAAGTCTTACAAAAGATTGATATGACAAGCAGATTGAAAACCCCAAAAAAGTGTTGGCCGTTGCGTGCAAGAAAGCACCAGAGGTGGAGCAATGGTCATCACCTCCTCTGCCTGAACCGGAAGAAGCGGAGAAAGTAGAAGAGCCTATGGTTGAACCGCTTGATTTGTTGGTAATGTCATAGTCTCTTTTTATGGTTTCGTCTGCAACTTTTGCAGTTACATTATGAGCTTTTCTTTTTCTTACCAGGGTTTAAACAATCCTGCCCCGGTTGCATCGAAATTAGATGGGAAGAATGCCTTGGAATTGGCTATTGTTCCTGTTGGTGAGTTTCGAGTCATCTTCATTAAATGAATGCTTTACGCCATGAAACATCAATAAACCGGTTTTCTACTGGTTTTAGGCACATAAAATAAGTTTCAACCTTTTGCATGTCAATTTGTGTTTATGTTTTCATGGCGGTGTTCCAGCTGAGCAAACAAATTCTCCAGCTGCTTCTTTTCAAGCAAACGGTACTACAGGCTGGGAATTGGAGCTTGTCACTGCTCCAAGCTCGAATGATAATGCCACTGCCACTTACAAAATGGTATTACAGACATGTGACGTGATGTCCGTTCATCATACATAGGTAACATGTTCATGTATGTATGTCTCACCGATACTATTTTAATTTGGTATTCGATCAAAAGGGCGGAGGATTCGACAAGTTTATGTTGGACAGCCTGTATGAGGATGCATTAATCCAATGTGGCTACCAGAAAGTCAGCTATAATCCATGGGAACCACCTCCAACATGTAATGTCATGATGCATGACCGCTTTTATGGCTCCAACACGGTTGCTGTTTCACCTTCGGTCCAGATGTCCACAGCGGCCAATCAGCATCAGGCTTTCATGTTGCAGAAGCCGATGATGAAGATGCTGGGTCCGCAACAGCCGCCTTCTAATTCTTTTGGATATCCTTATGGAGCCAGTGTCCACCCTTACTACTCAGGTATGTCTGTTCAACCATATACAGGCCTTATATAGATACGTCGGATGAACATGTTTCTGCTGCAAACTTTGATCCATGGAGAATGCTTGAAGAATAGAAAATTGTGTAGCATATTTCACCCTTATTTTTCAGATTTAAGGTTCATCTACGAAACGAACCCAGCATGAATTCATTCTTATTCTTTAAGAAGCATTTAAAAAATTTGAACTTTTTAAAGGTTCATTTAAAAAAAATCCATATTTATTAGGACTATGCATATATTCTAAAAGAAATTTAACATTTTCTTAGGAGGAGACTAACCTCCATCGACCCTTTCATAATTCTATCACGACATTTATATATGGTTTAAAGGGGCTTAAATTTCTTTATTGTTCAACCATAATACAACTTATAATATAATTGTTTATTATTTTTCATTTACATTTAATATAGTTGGTAATATATGTGTTTTATTATTTATATTTAAAATTAAAAATATATTGCATGAATAAACTTTATTGTATGAATAATAATTATTTGAGATTATGAGTTTGAACTTGTAAGATGTTTTGACGGCCAAAATGACCTACCCATATAGAGATAACTCCATTTACATCGTATAAAAAATATAATTAGAGCAGTCGAGTATGATGAAAAGGTGTCTATTGAAAGACAAATGAGAACAGAACATACGCGATGATCAACGAAATCAGTAGTATCAATGTCACCCTGCAACACGACAACAATTCATATGAATATTATTGGAAATGCAAATCTTATCGATCTCAGTGCATGATTCTACTTATGTTAAGAATGGATTATAATCAGGGATCGCAACGGTCGTGTTAAGGTTGGGCTTTTAATCAACTCAATCCGATTCGAAAATATGTACCCTCCATCCGAACCAGACTCGAACCGAAGATTTTATATCCTACATTCGACCTAATCCGACCTAAAAAATATATATCCTCCATCCAACTTCGACCCGATCCTACCCGATATAAATTAAGGATTTAATTAAATAATAATAAAATTTTTAAGAAAACTACATTATTATCTTCATGTCGGGTTCAGGGTGGAGTTTTTTCACCTTTCACCTGAACTCGACCTAACCTCGACTTATTTTAAAAAAATCTGACTCAATCGAATCAAAACCTTCTAGTGAAATTGACATCCCTAATTATGATTAGCGCAAATATGTATGTGTATATATATACATATGCTTACGTGATCTTGCAATTACTCCACCACATAGTATTCTTGTAACGACGAGATTGACTTTTGAATCGAAGTGAATTCCCCTTAATTGAACTCGTCTTCTCCACCAGCAACTCCAACCGATCGCCTCTCTCCAATACTTTCTCGATGTTGTCGATCATTACACTTCGTACCTATACATACAGATTCATGATTCATACAATAAATGGAATCTGAATCGAAATTGACGGATCCGTATTCACAGACATTTGCAGAATTCACCCACCTGGCTCATTTCCCCTTTTAAACGGTTCAATCTATCGGCATTGGGGTCGGTTGAAAATGGTCCATTTGTTGACTCATGACCCTGGAGAATTCTTCATTCATGGCGTAAGGCGAAGCTGATTGAATGGCCCGACCGTACGCCTTTACAAATCTCTGGTGGATATCTTCAAGGAAAGCGAAAGGGATTCTCCCTGAATATGGTTAATATAAACAAACATTAATTAGTTGCATATTGTGAATGAAGCGTAATTCAAAATGCGTATAAGAAATAGCTGACTTCCGGAGGCATCATCGGCCATGCAGAGGACGGTGAGACCATCGGTTCTCTTGACATGGAAGATGTAACGATCGTGCGAAAACGAGGAGTTGCTATCATTATATCCTTGGCTCATCTTTTCCAAAATCTGTCTAGCTACGGTGCTCGCATTTGTCTGGGAAGCGCTAAACTCCGTCAAAACCACCTGCCCCCTCGCCACCATCCCGTATAATATCCCCATTGTCGTGGAAATTGAAGGCGGCGGCGGGGATCGAGGGTGGGGGCGTGGAAAGCTGAGGAAAGTTTGAAGGGGCGGAGAATGGGAAAAATGAAGGCCAAAAGTATATGTACAATGAACAACGGAAGGGGGAGAATTGGAAGGAAGGAGTAGATAAAGGAATTGAGGTGGTTCGTCAATGACAGCGGGAAAATGGAGGACTAGGAATTTGAATGAATTCGTGCCTTTGGCGATTTTAATAAACGTGGACCAATCATATTGTGGTGGGTGATAGTGTGGACAAATGCAATTCTTTCAATTCAGTTTACTTTATTTGTCACCATCAAAGTTTAAACTTTTAATGTTTAAGAAATTTAGTATTTCATCCTATTAGATCAATGGGTTGTTGGTAGTATAGACTAACTTTTAAATTTTAAGCATCAAGGTTTAAACCCTTAATATTGCTTAAGAAATTTAGTGTATCATTGTACTAGATCGACGGATTATTGGTAGTATAGGATAACTTTTTAATTTTAAAATTGGTTTAGGTTTAGCTACATTAAACATAAACTATATGTGCTATAACTTTAATCATTTCATTATCTCATTATTAAGGAAGAGCTTTCATTTGAAATAATATATAGTAGTATATGTAACCTAATTATCCTATCAATAAAAGAATAACAAAAGTTCTTTCTATATCCAAGCAAAACGCCGAGAACAAATACTGATAACGTAGCGGAGAGTAAATGTTGATACATAGATTCATGTATTTGTAGAGGCAATGCCAACTAGCAAATTTTGGCAGCTGCCTCTCGAACGTATCCCATCTTCACGTGATTTGCTGCTGTTGCTGCTGCTGCTTCTTCTCCTTCTAGGGCTTCTTTGTTTTTGTTTGTTTGTTTTCACCCCTCTTCGTCTTCCTTGTTTGCATATAATCCCCACTTGTCTACGATAGTTTTTAAACATTTCTACTCATCTCTTTCCCTTTTCTCTCTTTGGGTTTGGAAATGGAGTCCAGCAAAATTTCAGCTCTGCTGCTGATTTGCATGCTTTTCATTTCCTCAGTGACTCCAATTCTTGGGTTGCCGTTCTTGTGGGAAGGCACCACCAAAGCATCGAAGGCACAAGGGTAAGTCCCCTAAAGGTCCCATCACTTTGCCTCCCATTGTTCCTAAACTCCCTCCGGTTGAGATGCCTCCAATTGTGAAGCCACCCATCGACCTTCCTCCGGTGACGCCACCAAGTGGAAAAGGAAAACCCTTCCAATCACCACCGACCAAGGACACTTGCCCTATCGACACGCTGAAACTGGGTGCCTATGTGGATCTGCTGGGAGGGTTGGTGCACATTGGTCTTGGTGACCCGGTGGTGAACCAATGCTGTCTGCTTGTGCACAACTCTCAAGCTCAAGGCTCTCAACCTTAAACTCTACGTGCCATTGGCTTTGCAGCTCCTCCTCACTTGTGGGAAAACACCCCCCCTGGTTACACTTGCTATCTCTAGAACCAAGTACCAGTTCATATTAACTTGTAGGCATAAAAAGAAACAATTATTGCATTACATGAGCATTGTTCCTCATTAGATTTCATGGCATACGGACTTGCAGGTTGGTAGATTGATGGAACAGACATGAGAGGATGTCAAGCTTTCTCTTCCTTCCTTTCTCAACTGGACTGGAAATCTAAAGCAGTTCTTATTTGTAACACCATTTTTATCACTTTTCTTTTTAAAAGATTGTTGCAACTCGCAAGTGTGTTTCTGTATCTTTGTCGAAGGATGCAATCAAGAGTGATAGAATTAATCTTCGTTCATGATTTTCCGGGATTCTCGTTTTGTTGCTTTCTGGTAACTTTATATAAAATATATATTATATGTTTTTCTGCTGGGCCCAGAAATATATATATATATATATTATAAAAAAAAAACTTGCTACAGTAAAATGCATGTGAAAAGTAACTTTAAAGTACCAGAAAAGGTCCTACAAAGGGAAAGAACAAGGAAACACGGTGTAGAACTCCATGGACCATGATAACATTTTTATCTTGCGGTTCAGTTTGTGGAGAATCAATCAGAACTCGCAAGGGAACAACTTGAAGGTTACAGTTTCAATAGACATGGGCAAAACCCGACCCTGGATGTGAAGCTAAGGTTAAAAGCAAGAGGGAGCAATGAGAAGCTACGGCACATGAACCTTATTTGTCTCTTTCCTTTAGCAGCATGTGGTGTCTGTTGAGTCTTTTCATCAACAGTCTTGTGCTACAATTATTTACCAATCAATAGTAATAAAAAAGAATACTGCGCGTACTGGTAAAATTGAGGACTTACTCTTTACTTGTAGTATGAAAAATAAGATTTACTGCAACAATCTTGGTATAGAGGTGTACCTCAAAGTCATACACATTTAAGCATTGGTCTTCAAGTCAATTTTTCCCCTTTTTTTTCAATCGCAATAACAAACCAAGAAAATATCCATACCTTAATCTTCAATGGTTTTTCTCTTAGCCACTGCATATTCTTTGGACCTTTTCTTTATCTTATCTAAGTCAACCTCCATACCCTAGTACATTTAGGGTCAAGAGCAGATATCACATAATTAGTAGTAGTTTAAAGCAAAAATAATTTGAAAAATAATATAAGAACAAATTCAAGGCACCATTTGCTGAGGGTGAGCAAAACTCGACTCGAAAAAATTTTTTTATTCGACTCGACTTGAAAAAATTTCAAGTTTGAATCGAGTTGTAAAATATAACTTTGTATTTTCAAGTTTGAGTCGAATCCCTCAACTTTGTATGGTATATGTAAATTACATATGAAAAATACGAAAAATATATATTGTATTGTACATGGTTATAAAATATCATTTAAATTGGAATCAAATAGTATCATAATTTGTAAATAGTTACAACTAAATTTAGATAGAAACTCAAAAATTTGACTCGACTCAATCGAATGCTCACCCCTACCAGTTGCAAGTTATGGTTGTCTATACATCGAAAGAGGCAAAATTGGCACAATAAGTCAAGCGGGTAAAAATATTAGTCCATTAACCAATCCGAATTTGATTTGGGATCTATGATAAATGCTACAATGTAAGGCAAACTACTCGCGTCCAAATAATATTTTTTATTAGAAATTATCATATCGACGTGATGAATTTCAAATCACTATAAAAAATACCGTAAATACCAAATTAATTTTAAAGAGGGTCAGACTAATTTTTTTTACCCATACGACCTATTGGGTAATTTTGCTCCGAAAGGGTACAAGTGAATTGCAACCATTCGTGGATATGAAATTGAACATACTGAACTAAAATTCATGCACAAATGACCCAAAGAACATATTTGGGCGTCCATGCACCTCTGAAAACAAAGCTATTGTCCTGCCCACAAAGCTAGCCCATCTGTTCTCTCCCCAAACCCAACCAATCTTGCACTTGTTTAAATTTATTAACTTCTCATTCACAATACATATTCAACCTTTTGAAATAGTAAACACACTTTTAAAATAGATATATAAAAGTAACAAAAATATTTAAAATTGCAGTGATGAGAGGAACAAGAGATACATATTAAACAAATGGCCTCTTTGCTTTCTTCCTTAGCTTTCCTGAACTGCAATGTTTTCTTATGTAGAAAAGGGAATAGTCAAGCCTCTTTCACAGATCCATTCCATCTTAAATTTGTTTTTTATATGGTAAGAGAATAAGGGCTTTTTTATTTTTATTTTTATTAATATGGGGTAAGTATAAGATAATATTTGTTTAAAGATAATTTTCAACCTTTTGATGTTGAACACTCAAACCTCTAGTGCTCGAACCCAAGTCTTCAAAGAATAATAACAATTCTTTTATCGCGAGTCCACTTAATTCGTGCAGGATTAATATATATATATATATATATATATATAGCTCAGCTACCCAAAGTTCACAACCTTATTATATAATAGTAGTATGAAACAATCTTGGATCATTTGCATTAGAAAATGGAAAGAAAAACTGATCTGTCAGAGATGATGATAAGTAGGGGAGTGGAGTGGTTAAAGGGTGATGTCACAAACATGGGACAAAGATCAACCAGAAAGGCTAACAGTGAAAACTTTCATCATTGATAATATAACAAGGAACTAAAGCTAGCAAATTAATGCAACTCTCCATTTTCACCTACGTTTGATTCACTACATTTAGAACTACTATCAGCTGAGCATTACTTCAATAACATAATATTAAACTACGGTCTCAACATTATAATGATTTTCGATGCCACTGTAACATCTGCAATCGTATTCGCAATAGACACCGTAGCTGCAATTCAATACGTCGTTGAAAAACCTGTTGCGGTGTGTATCAGACTATGAGTAAAAAGCACGTAATTCAGCATCAGAAGCCCTTTCTCTGAGACAAAGCTGCATGCTGCAAGAATTGTGTATCATAATTCATGGGAAAGGAAGGGTGGTAACTGCAATAAAAAAGAAATTCGCGTGATGATTTTGAAAATTAAAGAATATGTTACTATCTATGGAGTACAATATTTCGCTCTTGTTCTGCAATTTAGCTTCGTTGAAGGGATAAACGCAAGTCCTGAATTGCCATCATGTTCTCCCACAGCTTTCTTGAGCTTTCATGGTTTTGCTATACTATTACATATCAGGCGGCATGAATGAATACAAAGGAAGTTCAAGAAAGCTGTGGAAAAGCATGACCAGGACCATTTAACAAAAACATATGAAATACCATCGACCATCTCATATCTCAAATAAATTAAGCATTTTTCCAGTTTTTATTGACCTAAAAACACAGTGTGATGGATGAAAAAAGGAAGATAGACAAAAAGGAAGAAGAGAAAGATGCCATTCCAAAGATGAAAGGACCACTCTACCGATATACAATCTGTCAGCCTAGCTTTATAGAGAAAGAGGAGGCCGGCGATGAAAGGATGAAAGCAAAGGAGGGGTAAGCCTGTAGGGTTTATTTTCACCAACAAACCACCATTGTTTATTTTACTCGGCCTTTGCTTTACTAGTGAGTGCGGTGTGGGGTACATAACACAGCTAGATTAGATAAGATAGGTAAAGAGAAAAACAAAAGATTTAACTAAAAAAAACGTGGCTTGTTTTGTCCCAGCACAGCGGCTAAGGAATGGTAAAAAATAGTGTCACCGAAAATGTTACAAAATCGTAACATTTTCAATTGGATATAATTTAAAATTTTAATTATTTTTTAATATTTTTCGATTAAAAATCTTTTTATTAACATTTTCAGTTGATAATCGATAATATTATCTTTTATCCAATAAACCCTACATTGAACAAGATTATGGGGAGTGATGAGTACCGACTCCCATCACATGCAACCATGTTATTTCGATTTTTTTTCTTTTTTCCTTTTAATTTTTATTGGTTGTTTATGGTCCCCAAGCTTTATATCTTTTAACCTAAACTTATATATATTGTCGATCATTAATCATGATCAAGGATTTACAACGGGTATGGTTGCATTCCTAGATTTTTTTATATATTAATTATTTAATTGTATATCTCTAAAATTTATAACTACTTCTAAAAACTTAACGTGTTTAATATCTAAACTATCAGTTTTAGTCGTTTTTGTACCTAAAGCAATGACTCTCAACAATTTGACATTAAACGCTCACACCCTTGACATTCATGGTGCTCAAAGTCGAGACCTAAAAAATAAAAACAATTCATTTATCACCAAACTCACTTGGTTTATGATTTTTAATATACTTTAATCAAATATTATTGAATAAATTAAATTAAAACATATGAATTTATATTTACTCAACAACATACTAATAATTCAAATTACAACGACAACAATAATATACAATTTTGACAATTAAAATTGTAATTGAGACGGAAAAGCCATGTACCAAAAAACATACAAAACGACCATCAACCGGTTGATCTAGTACTGTATTAGATCCTTAAGTAAGATTAGAAGTTCAAATCCTGATAATTGCAAATTAAACAAACTAGGTTATAAAGGTCCCCTTATCTCTGTAATATATATTCTAGATTAATCGATCAATAGATTATTTATTAATAGTTATAAAAAATTCAAAACGCATGCAGACAAAGTTATAATTTTAGGCATGACTGTGTCAATGTGAAAGTGAAATTGATCATGAACAAAGATAGGTAAATTTTACGATCTCCACACGCACACATCATATACTAAACATTGAGTTGATTGACGAGACACTGCTTGCCTCTATGTTAGATTATCTATAAACATCAGATATGGAATTATATATCTAAATCGTGTTAGTGCCAAATTTCATTATATTTTGTTTTAATTTGTCTATTCTATACACATGCAAAACCAAAACCATAATAAATAAAAATGGGACCCATTTATCAACAGACCTCAGCAAAAGGACTCAATCATCAATTATGAAATTTGGATGCATCACATGCTTCCAGCTCTTTTATAATATCTTTTCCTTTTCCATTCGGGGTAAAATAATAAATGGTAAATCACGTATTTAGTACTTAAATTATTAGTTTTAGTCTATTTTAGTACTTGAACTTTCAATTTTTTTAAATCATACCAACGTTTAGTTTTCATTTCATTTTAGTACCCAGCATTAAAAACTTAACACGTTTAATACCTAAACTATCCTTTTTGGTTTGTTTTAGTACCTAAACTTTCAATTTTTTCAAAATTTAACGTTAACTTTTGAATGGGGTACTAAAACGAACCAAAAATTAAAGTTTTTAACGGAGGTATACTAAAATGAATCAAAAACTAAACTTTAGGTATGATTTTGAAAAAATTGAAAGTTTAAGTATTAAAATAGATCAAAACTGATAGTTTAAGTATTAAATACATAATTGACCCAATAATAAAATATGAGATACCAATAAGTTTCCACTCAAGTTTTAAATTATTTATTCCATTTTGATGAAGTTAAACTTGTTTATTCAAATTTTGTTTATATCTAGATTATTTTCATAATCCCTGTTGTCTTTGTATATAGAGATGGATCTAGGCGGGAGGGGTGATCGTCTCCCCTAAAAGTTTAAAAGTATCATATATTTTAAATTTTATCTATGTATTTTATTGGAAATGTTTATGTCCTTAGAATTTTATAAGTTCAAATTCACCCTGAAATTTTATAAGTTTAAATTCTACTCCTAACACAAAATTTGTGTCTCTGTTTGTATAAGGAGAGGAGCTTACTGTTAAAAAAAGACCCGCTGCAAAGGAAAGTCACGCAAAGAGTAATTAGTAATTAATTTGTGTTCTTATATAAATAACAATATTAACTACTTTGTGTTTACAAGGATGGTCCCTAGTCCCTACCCCTATCGCCATTTACTTGGAAGATTAGGTAAAATCCAAAAATAAAATGATACGTTATTGACATTTTTGTTTGATAGAAAGTAAAAAAATGTTCTTCTCCATTAACCGGATATGGAATAGGTAACATGTTCAGAAGAATTTCTCTCTTCCATCTTTAAATTAATTATCACAAGTGTTCATCACAATTTTGAATATATTAAATTGATCTTAATGGAAATTGGAGGTAAAATGGAGCATGATTATGATTATTATCAATAAAATCATATATTATATAATTAGAATCACTCACTATGATACACAAATGAAGAGATTAATAATTAAAATATACCCAGATTCAGACCGAAACAATTTAAATATCACCCACATATAACAAGACTGAAAACATATAAAATATGCAGAGTTCCAAGTATGTTAGCATGGCCACTTAACATGCGTGTCTTTTGTTAAAATAATCAAAGCTTATCTTTTTCCTGCAGCCTATTTGTCTGCAAATATAGGAGGAAATACATACCACCTGGTGGCAGCATGCCTGTTGAAGAAGATTATAACTTTTGGAAGCTTGATAATGTTAGCAATGCCTTTGCCATGATTCGAGCACAGAATTGCACACAAATCATCTGCAAAAGACATGTCCAAGAATTACTAGAAGACATCAGGGTTGAAACGGCCTGGGATGGAGCTACTTTGCTGAGCCTGCTTCAAGTGCATTGTCAATGCATAATTGTTTACCTGTTGGAGGGGGTCAGATGATCAAACAATTTTGATCAGATTCCGAAACAATCAAAGCCGTTTTCTTAATCATGTTGCAAGAAAAATAAGATGGGAGTAGACACATAGATTATATAGGCATATGAACAGTTGAGTTCATGAGGCTAACCTCAAGGGTTCTCAACTGCTCTTGATACTGAGATGCTACTTGCTTCAGATGCTGCAACTCCTGACTCTGGCTTTCATACTCCTTCTGACGCTCGTGCTGAACAGAAACAGCTCGCTTCAGAATAGTATTTTCCTGAATGAGTGCTTGCACCTGTTCTTTCAACATCTTATTTTCCTACAACCAAACAACCCTTTTCTCATTTTCTGAGTAAATTCATCATTTATAAGTATCTTTGACCAAAATCCCATTTGGATCACTGATAATCCTCTAAAAAAAATTTGAAGATTTAGTCATGATGAGATACTTTCCTATCTGTATCTGGTATGAATCTTTTCCTCGTACTTATTCAATTTGAGGTATTGATCCAATTCAATAATAAATATATATTTGTAATTTCCAACTTTTTGCTCAGAATACCAATAAGGTCACTGAATTTTGTTAATCATGCGAAATCTAGCCTCACTAATCAATTTCTTTGCTAAAAACTTATTAGAAAATTAATTCAGCTACCATGTAATTATTTTTTTTTTTGCAAATCTTCGCTTGATTTACAGCACTGTTATCATGAGTAAAATTTTCTTTTTATACTATGATTTGTGTTTTAATAAATTTTTCTGTAATAAGTTTTTGATGGAAAATCATACTTTTGGATAGAGTTGAGCTGGGTTTTTGGGGGTGGTTGGTTTTTCTTGGTGTGTGGCAGTAAAAGGGTTAAAACAATTCTTCAAATTTTTTGTCTCAAAATTGTTGATTATTCACCAGAAAAATTCCTATGGAGCAGTTTACAACCATATCATTTTTCATTAATTGTTAGGAAGATATATATTAGGGTGACTCGATTGGAATAATTAATTGAGATATTTGCGAAACATTATTTACCGTGAAAAAAAATCAGGTTAACTTTTAGGAAGATATACGTTATTTACCAAACAAAAAGTTCGGATCAGGCATATAGTAATAGCAGGGATGAAAGAGGAGATAACTACTAGTAACTTTAACAACCATGAGAACCAACCTGGTGGAAATTTTGGGCAAACTCAGCTCCAGCTCGTGCATGAATGGATTTCTCCAAAACCTCCAGTGCTCTTGAAGCACGAGCTCTGGCATCATCAATATTGGAAGCATTCAACATTTCCCTAACAAAAAGCTCCACCCAGTCTGAACCATCCATTGAGAGGACTTCTGGGACTGTCTGTTCCTTAGCTGGAACATTTCCATTGGCAACTATTGGAGCTACACCTACAACAGAATAATCCTCTGCTTACTAAGCAACTATTGATGCCAAATAACTAAAAGGTGATTCATAAGTGAATTATAGATAAGTTATAATTCTAGTTTTAATGGCATCCCATCCACATAAACTGCTAGGGCAGGCAAATAACATAAAAAGAAGCAGTAACTTTATTAGCAATATTCACAGATCAAATTGCTAAGAAAGATTCACATATTGCACATTACATTTGTGCCAGTTTCTGCAATTTGGAGAGAGGGAAAGGGGCAAGGGAGGGACTCCTACTTATAAACAACCCCAAGAGTGAATCATACAATACAAATTACCCTTTCTTAAGTTCAGACATCCTAACAGCACTCCAATAGACTTAAGACACCACAACCAAAAGCAAACCACTTATTCAAACGTGTTACATGGAATCAAATAACAACATTTAGGGTTATCATTTGAATACACACTTTCCACTGTCTTCAAGTTATTCACAAAAACAAACAACACAAATCTTCTTTGCAATACAATCACAAAAAAACTACTAAAAAGTTCTTAAAGCTAACATGAAGAAGATATAGTCTCACAATAAATAATCTCAGGAACTGATTCCAAATAGAGATGCAGAACCAAGTTAAAAATCTTGGTCAATCCAAACGTCACAAAATTGCCAGGTATATCAATTTGGTGTTATCAAAATTGAATCAAAAGGAATTTTCTATTCATACCTTGAGCTTCAAGTTGATCATTTCCTTTTAATTCTACACCAGTTTTATCATCAGCGGGAGCAGCTGCATTTCTATCAGCAGATCCTAAACGAAGCTCATTCAAACTCCTAATAGCTGAATCCAGATCATCTCCACATTCTTCAAGTACTCTTTCAAGTATCTAAACCATTATGAACAAAACATCGTTTCTCAGATACAATAAAATGTAATTCTCAAGTCAATTGGATTTATATAATAGAATACAAGGTTATCATGCATAGAATGTCGCAATACATTTTATGTAACATGGAATTTGATCTTAGAACCTGAAACTGAGTTGATTACACAGAAAACGAAATCGCATATTATAATTAAATTCCAATTACGATTCTATCCCCAAGTTCTTTTACCATAAAATTCCTCTTCAAAAAATCCATTTTAGGGAAGTAAAACAACTACATATAAGAATTAAAACATAACAAGAAAAAGTAGATGAGACTGAGATTGTGAACGAATAAATGATGATGATAATAAAAATAATTTCCATTTAATATTCTTTTCTGGAAATTAAAACTTAAACGGATGCATTATATATGTATTTAAAAAAAACTAGGGAAAAGCTTACCTGTTTATCCATTTCAGGGAACATGGGAATCAATTGGTCGATCAAAAATAATGGAGGCGGCGAAGAAGGAGAGAAAGAAGAAACAAAACGAGAAGAACAACGGATTCTCTTAGAAACGGGAGGTGATGCGCTCAATTCCTCAAAGAAAGATCTCTTCCCTGAAACTATGGCAGACATGTTTCAGCCAAATTGCCTGCACTCACGGCCTTTCTTCTTTTTCTTCTTCTTCAACTCCCTCCTCCCTTTAAATCTATAATATCTAATTTCAGTTTCAAAAACTCCGATCCGATCCGATCCGATCGATCTCGATTTTTCTCAAAACAGAAACGCTAAAGGGCTTCAATAACTTAGGATTTGATTTCTCTCTATCAGTAGCAATTTGATAGAGAGGAATCTCTGTTGTTGTTGATGTTGATGATGTAGCATTTGAAGAAATCAAATAATTTGATTTTTTTTCCTATTTTCCCCCAATTTTATTTATGTTATTGTTATCATGGCTGGAGGCAGGTAGCAACCGCTCGCAAGAAAAATAGGGACAAAAAGGGAAAACAAATACTTGGATTGAATTCGATGGGGGAGCTGATAGGGGAGCACCGAGGATTGGATAACCGACCACTTAAAATTATACACGTCGGAATGAAAACATATTTACAGGCGCAACGTGTTCTTCTTTTATTGGATTTAGTGTTTGTTAGGAGGGGTTATAACAGGACGATCGTATTTAGTACGGTAAATGAGTCGAGTTGAGGTTGAGTCGTACAGAGCTCGATTCGAATTAAAATTTTTGAAATAGAGTTTAATTCAACTTGAAAAATTTGTGAGTCTATAATTTTTAAGTTCGACTTAAACTCGAAACTATGAATTGAAATTCGTAAAAGTTGAAATGAAAAAGAAAACTTAAACTTAATTCGATTGGAGTTCAAAACTTAAACTCGAACCTAAACTTTAAATATATAAAAACCTTATATTATATTTTAAAAAAAACAAATAAATGCTAATATTCCAAAGCACCTTGGAATTCCATTTTGTTCATGTGTTTTATCCATCCACCGTTCGTCTAATCTCATGCAATTATAGTAACTTCTTCTACTTCGTTTGTTTAACGTACAATTTAGCTGTAACACCTTCTCTTCCTAACTTGTTCTCCATGGCTGACAACAACTGTGGCCGTTGAGCTTTCTTGAAACATGATAGTCGATTGAGATTCTGAAATTATATTATATAATATATTAATCGGCATGTTAACATCCAATTCAATTCACCATCATTTTTAACGGAAAAATGATGAATTTAGAACACAATGAATAGTTGGGTAAACTTAAAAAAATAATATATTATAATCGGATGATCATTTTATAACTTTTAATAGTCAGGATATATTACCATTGAATTACACTAATGAATTTACCGTATAATGCAACAGGGAAATTATATTTCATTACAGAATAATGGATTCTAACTCGTGATTACGACGACTCCACTATGGGTAATGATAAAAGGCAATGATAAACCAGATGAACTTACACGTACCTGTGTCTCGACGATAAACCAGAAATGCCAGTGATAGTTTCTGCTATAAAATGAACCGATGATAAAAGGCAAGCTCAAGATGAATTCAACGAAAATACGATATAACAAAACAAAACATGAAACCAAATATATAGTAAAGAAGAAGAAGAAGATGAGGGAGAGTTTGGAAGCAAAATAGAAGGAATGTGGAAAGTGATATTGGCGCGGCTCAATCTGAGATCGTATTTTACAGCCGAATCCATGCGTAAATCCGTCTTCGGATTGAACCTCACCAACATCGCTTTCTTTCTTTTGCTTCCCAAGCAACCACCAAATCTAAACCTCCATCCCACGAATGCAATGAGAAACACACCCCGATCGATGTTCGTAGAGTTTGCAGCTTTTATACACTTTGCATGCCTGCTTATATCGCCCTTACCAACCAACAAGAGAAAGGGTACTTGAATAAAGAAGAGTTGGATATGGCCCCATGACAATAAAATTTGATCCTTTTTTTCCAGTGCCTCTGGTAGGCCAAAAGAAGCCTACCTTCATGGAGTAGAAGGTGGAGATCATGGCGGTTTTGTTGGTGGTTGGGAATGATTATGACAATGTGGGATCCCTAATATCATGATCTTTATTCCTTCATTAATTGTGTCAAAATCAAGGCAATTCTGGTGCTAAACTATTACCATGTCCAGTCAATGAAATTAATTATGAGGAATCTAAAAAAACGAAACAAGAATGGACCGATGAAATCAATTACAGAACAGAGGTAATAAAAATCAGATATGATCCATGAACACGACAAACCAAACACAGTAATAATATGATGTTTCTTGATGCACTAATAAGACATAACAAAAGACAAATGAACGAGACACTCTTCTGTTGATTAAAAAGTGTCTTACAGTGATCCTCAAAGTTTTCAGCAAACTATACTTGAAAACATTGATTATACATATGATCACTGCTGTTCATCATAGAATACCGCTCAAATCAATAAAAAACAAGGCCTGTTTTTCCAAGGGTTTAACTCGATTTGTATTCAAAAAGACAACAAAAGGAAGTGAGAAGATTGTCAGCGATGATCAATATAAAAGAAACAAAGGTTTTATAGAGGTTTAGAACACGGTATCATGATGATTATTTTATTTTTTATTTATTAATTTGAGGTATGTACAAAGTACTACATGTTCAACGATGATTGAAAATGAATCTATAATCATAATTTCAAATTTCAATTACGAAATTTGGGACGAGAGACGAGGGAAATGATATGAAGGGGAGCAAAATTTACTTTCTAGGATTTGACATGCTTAATTTGTACTCAATCAAAATCAAATTCCTTCACTTGCGCCCGCACCTGGAAATATTCTCCTCAAAAGAAAAAAAGAATGAACCCTACTAACAAAACAACTCCTTTCCATCCTACCTTCTTTTTTTAAAAAAGAATTTATATTATATTATTTTTTAAAACACCACCACCTTTCTATGTCCTGTTTGCATTTGATTAATCAAGAGAATATGATAGTTGGCTTATACTTACATATCCGTATAAACAAATCTACATCAATATATATACTATATATACACACACAATAACTCACCAGTAAATGAATTATATATGTAGAAGGGCAAAGAGGGTAAGATGGTTTTGAGGATCATACATCGATCGGGGCTTATACGTACATTATGATGTTCATAATTATTTACATCAAACTCATCCATATATATACTGATCTATGTTAAAATGTTGAGTTCAGTATAGATAGACAGGTACAATCTTATATATCAGGGCTGATAGAAGTACCGACAGCAGGTGCATACAGAGACGGAACTACATAGGGAGTGGGAGGGGTTATTATCCCTCTCGATATTTGATCATGGCGCTTAGCGTATAATAAAAGGGCAAAGATTTGGCGCTTGCATTGCCAACAACCCAAGGCGGAGACACCGGCGCTAAAGGAGACCTGCCTTGGGCCTGCACCAGGGAACACACATCTTGGATTTTGCTTTCTTTTCTTTTTCCTTTCTTTCAAAGAGGGGTTAGTCAGGCCGGCTGGCCACTATGTCATCTTCTTCTTCGCCTTGAAGATTTTGGGAACTGTTAAAAAAGGTAACTTTTTCTAATTTTTTAAAAAATAAAGCATCTTCTTCTCACAAACTCATGATTTTGGGCGTGCCACTTGGCAATTACAGATCTCCCCACGCCTTCAACTATTTCATTCCCTCCTCACCAGACCCTAGGACCCTTTTTTATACTAATTAATCCCATTTTCTTTGTCTCAAGAAATGGTATAGTGTACCACAACATTTAGCCCTTTTTCCCCTCAACATTGTTATTTTTTATTATGATTTTGACCCAGCACATGCCTTTGTGTGACGAGAGTTACAATTTTAACTGAAGGAATAAACATATATGAATGGATAACTTTTGTCTATGTAGTAGACTTAATTTATTACTTTTATTTTTATCGTATTTTTACATTTAGACCTGAAAGTTGTTCAATTACATCATTCTATAATATGATTTAGTGTTTTAAGTTAGTGGTAGGATATAGAATGATGCAATTGAACAACTTCGAGGGTTAAATTGATGGAAAAATACAATAAGAACAGAAACAATAAATTAATTCTATTACATAACCAAATGTTACCCTTAATTCAATATATATTAATCAAAGTGTGTAGACATTATGCGAAAACGAAGAGTGTGAACATAGATTTCCAAGGTTGGGTTGTTTGATAATTCAAAGCGTTGATTAAAGGGGTGGGACAAAGAGACACCCGTGTTTCTTACTCATGTATTGCATAGATTTCTTCGAATGGTCCATGATCATCGTTGTCGGCTTTTGTTCTTTTTTATCACCAAAAGCCAACATTCTTTTTTAGCATTTCTCCAATGAAAAGAGAGTTGTTGAATGACTTTTGATTTTTAAGTTTGATTTGCCTGAGTTAAAATAAAATCTAAAATCCAAAGTGCAAAAACATCATTTTTTTTCCGATCTTTTAAGATATCAAATGTAAAGTTTTATTCTATTCCAAAAATATTACATTTAACGGCGGCGAAGCCTCAGATTGATGATAGTGAGCACGTGTTCATCCTGAAATTCGATTTATTTTTTCCGATTAATTACTTATTGACGGCGTCCATCCTCAACACTGAAAGATTTAAGCTTTTAACAAAGACGTGGGTGAGGGTGTATGTTTCAATCATGCAAGGTAAGTAGGCCAAACTGGGTTGTCATTATGTGGAGACAAGATAGACACACCACTCTCTTCAGGATCTCGAGTTTACTAGTAATCAAGTTGACAACTGTGTGTCCACACCACACATGGGAGAGAGCAGAGGTTTCCTCCTAGACTCTATCCCACCCCCAAAAAAAAAGTTCCGCAATAAGTGGATAATAGAAACCTCTTGCTTTTGTAAATTCACGCACAAATGGATACAATTTCACCTTTTATGGGGACTTTTAAAGGGACATTAGATTATTGAGTAAGTCAGGTATTTAGTATATAAACTATCAGTTTTAACTTGTTTTAATACTTAAACTTTCATTTTCTTAAAAACAACGTCTAATGTTTAGTTTTTATTTCATTTTAGTACTCTGACAGTTATAAACTTAACGCATTTAGTACCTAAACTATAGGTTTTTGTCTGTTTTACTATCTAAACTTTCAATTTCTTTAAAACTTAACGTTAAATTTTGAACATGAGTACTAAAATGAAACATAAACTAAACTTTAGGTATAATTTTGAAAAAAAATTGAAAGATTAAATACTAAAATGAATCAAAACTAATAATTTAAGTACTAAATGAGTAATTTACCTCCGGTATGAGGTTCTCAAGCGTCAGAAACGTGGCTTGGCTCAATTGGTTTATGCAATGTATTTGCAACTTTTTTACTATTCCCAAACTTCGACCTCCCTCGTTGAAAAAGAGAAACAAGTCTTCATTAGTGAACTTTGTGGATATTCAAGAAACTGATATAAGCCCAGACAAGTAACAATTCAAGGCACAGCATAATAAGAGAAAAATATAATCTCTCTTTTAGTGACAAAACATCAAAGCCACCTACTGCGCTACGTTGAATAAGTGATCACACCTTCAAATTGCCACACAAAGTATAATTAATAATAAAAGTCTGAGGGGCAAAATCAAAATAAATCAAAAATTGAAGGTCTAAATATGTATTTATCCCTGCAAAATATTATAGCTTTGAATCGAGCGGAAGTGTTAATAGATTTGCAAATTAGCTAACAAAAACTGCACTTTCTTTCTGAGCAACATCATGAGTAAAAGAAATGGATACATCGAACGAAAGAGATTAGTTTGTGAAAAGAAAGCACCTGTAACCTACTAAAATAAAAAATCGATCCGATTCATTATCGTTTCTAAGTTTAACGTTTAAATCATATATTTTGGAGGTATATTCTTAGTTGAATGTTAATACGTTGATTGTGATATGATAAAATATGATTCAGAATATCAAACGAATGTCATATCTCTTTCATCATTGTAACGTCCAGCTTAAATAACTGTCAATATTTTAACAGAATATAACAAATTCGGAACATAACGAATAGTAAGGTAACTATTTTATAACTTTTAATAGTCAATGGACTTAATAAAACAACCTTCTATAGTCGGGTGACTATTTTATATTTTTTAATATTAGAAACACTTAATAAAATAGTACCCTATAATCGAGGGACTATTTGTGTACTTTATCCAATTTTCTAATTGACCTGTCATAATATCGTAGTATGATATAGTTTGTTTTCATTTTCAATGCCTGAATGTGCTTCTCCTTATTATATATGCATTTTTATCACTTGTGTTCTAAATGATTGCGTACTTCATCCCTTTGTCTATTATTTTTCATGGTATGAATGATCTGTTATCCCCAATTTTGTTTGTAATTGAGGATGAATCTGAATCATTTTGGTGTTTTGCAACATTGATGGAATGCCTTGTGCCCAATTTTAACCGTGACCAAAATGGCATGCACTCTCAGCTTTTTGCGTTATCTAAGGTCTTATTCTTTGTCTCTCTTATAAATTGCTTGGACCGAAACCTTAGGACTTGTTAAAATTCTAAATTAGGACTTTATTATTTCACGTGTCCTTTTAAACTAGGATCAATCTTGTTACATAAATAGGAACCTAATCAACTGAAATAAAACCATAATTAGAGTAGCAATCCTGGGATTTATGATTGACTTCTAACTGATACAATTGTTATCAAGCATCCAATGCCTTGTTTATTTTTATATCTTGTCATTGGAAGGTGGCATTTCAAGTTAGTAAATTGAGAAATCCTTGGCAAGTGTGGCTGGTGGAGTTGTTAGATGCCCCATCGCATAACTACTTAAAGCAAAAGGACTGCGTGAATGATTTCATCTGTTTCCGCTGGATTCTGTTACAGTACAAAAGGTAAGACTCTTTTATGCATGTAGTGCTCGTACGTTCCTACTTAACATCCCTGTTTTGTTTATATGCGTTCGCTCCGAAACGTGAAGATGGATTTACATGTTTTAACTTTTCGGTTGATCTCAAACGTATGTATCAGGGAACTCGAATTTGAGAAGACGATGTTATTGTGGGAAGTATTATGGACGCGTCATTCGTCTGAGCACCTTCATCTGGTCGTATGCGTTGCTATATTGAAGCGTTATCGAGGGAAGATAATGGAAGAGCATATGGAATTCGACACCCTCCTAAAATTCATCAATGAGCTGAGTGGTCAGATCGACATTGATTCAATCCTCAGGGATGCAGAGGCTTTATATTTATGTGCCGGCGAGAATGGCGTTTCTTGCATCCTACCTGGAACTCCACCTTCTTTGCCTCTTGGCAATGATATTTTACTCGACCCCGAGCTAGAGGATAAAGTATTATGAACGGTTTATTTTTAAATAATCCTATTACTACAGAATTTATTGGAGAGACGCCATTATTTTTTAGTTGGAGCACTCGGGTCGATCAATCTAAATTATCTGACCATGGGTTGAAACCAATGATCGAGTTGGCAAACGAACTTCGTTGATGCAAGTTAATTTGTTAGGGTTTAGAGTTCCTTGCACAAAATAACCCAATAAGAGTGTCCTCATTGAGGGACAAAGTGAAGGCTTCAAAACAGCCTGCCCACTAGGCTACCCCTCACCACATTATTTCAAGACATTGAGAAATGCCCCTAAAAATAATTAAAAATATTTTCTACTGCAGCCTTATATGTTATTTCCCCCCATTATTTCATCTTTTTATACATATAAAGAAATGGAAAATCCAAAAATAAAAGCTAGAATGGCGTTCTATTGACATCATTGTATAATTTAGTTTTTGTAGTATATTTCTCCTTTAATGTAATTCCTTGTATGTCTCACCAACCAAGCCTAATTACATCCAAGAGATCATTACATCAGCATTACTAGATCTTTACGTCAACTCCTCTGTTTATTCTACAAATCGAACAATATCATTTTATTAATTTTAAAAAATTAAATTTGTTTTTAATCCAAACATTTTACACTTCAATCCAAGCGTTTAATGGAAAATTTGTGCATTTGTACCTCTTAATTTGGGATAGGCATGGGACCGAAGTCGATGGGTTTCAACATAATTTGATGTGGTTAGATCGATTTTTTTTTAAAAAAATGGATTCGGTTGAATCGAGTTAGGTTTTTTAAGGTTATATTTGGGTCAGGTCAGTTTCAAGTTTAGAGTGAAAAATACCTGACCCGACTCGACCTAAAAAATTTATAATTTTACGTTATATATTTAGGAATAACTATAATAATACCTCTCTATATATTATTTTCTTTCAATTAAAATATTATTTTTATTGAATAAAAATAATATTTTAAATAAATATATTATTTAAAATCGAGTCGAATTCGAATTTTATCTTAAAAAAATAAAGTCAAGTTTGATTCGAATGAAAAATATATATTTTCCGAGTCAAATTCAGACCGGATGAACCAAAAATCCAACCCGACCCATACCTATCATACTCCTAATAAATTTCGATTTTAGCTCATCCCCTAAAAATGAAATTTTAGCTTCTCCATGCAGGGGTCTTGGTTTATGGGACAATAAATTATGTGAATTTTTTAGCCTTCCATTTAATGGAATTTACTTTTTTATCTTTCTATATATAATTAAATTTTATCTCTTTAAAAAGAAAACTTTATAATTTTATCTTATTTACCAAATAAAAATTCCAGAATTACCACGTAAATAATTCCATGAATTTATTGCTGCCAACATTATTAAATAAAAGCACTGAAATGGGTCTAAAAAGTGACAAAATCTACCAAACTATGGTGCTCACCCTTGTATGTATAGTGTTTTTTTTTCAATTTGCAACCACATGGAACAGTTATGGTGCTCACCCTTGTATGTATAGTGTTCGAAATAACAATATTTTTTTATCATATAAAATAAAAAATTATACAATTTAATCACATAAAATAAAAAATTATACAATCAAGATAGGGCTAGGTCGTTTTGTCGGTGTCGGTGTGTCGTTTAGTATTAGAAAACTTGATGAGATTTCACAAAAGCTGGGCGGTGGGGCTGCCTCTTGACACCGATCATTCAGAAAAGAAAAATAAGAAATGAGAGGAGGAAAAACAAGAACCAAATATGATGGCGATTTCTTCTTTATCTTGATTAGTTTTTTTGTGGAACACATCAGCCATTACTCGCAACAAGAGTCTGATCTTTTTCAGAAATAGAATGGATCGAACGTTTTATTAAAAAAAAACACTACACTCCACCATCACTAAAACAATCAAAACGAATCCAAAGGGTCTCTCTTATACGCTACAACTCTGAACTGATAACATAGAAAAGAAAACAAGCAAAAGGATTGAACATAAATTAGCATAGCAGAACTAAGGCGACGGACGTGATGGCAACAGAGACGGCGGCAACAGGGGATGAGGCTGAGCTAGAGGAACCGCCGTTGGGGGTTGAACCAGGTGTCGAATTAGTCCCGGGGCCACTTTGGACATCCACGCTTAGCTTTTGTCCGCCGGTGCAGTGACCTAGGACAGTGCAAATGAAGTGGTACTCACCGGTCCTGTTAAGGGTAATGCTTGCCGGACCGGTACTGTGTATGGAGATGGGATTGGTACCGTTGCATCTGTCGTAAGCAGCTTCGGTCACCTCGGCAACGTTATGTATGTTGGTAGTAAAGTTGAACTCTGCAAAAAAGAATTTGGAACATTCTTCGTCACAAAAGAAAAAAAAATCAAAGAGAAACGCAACGGAGTTGGATTTTGAGATAAGAAACTAACCGAGGATATCCCCAACGAAGAAGTTCTTATTGTCAGCCCATTCATCATAAAAGTCACTATTACCACCACTGGGAGGGACCCTCCAGCCAGTGGTGTCTCCCACGGTGTAATTCGCAGCATCTGTGCTCTGCAACACAGTTGATGCCAAAACAACAGCAACAAGTACTGCTGCCGTGCTCATGCTTTTCATCTCCATTTTTTCTTCTCTGCCTGGATATAATTTTACTGTGTTCTCTTCTATATTACACAGTCGCCCCTTAGATAGATCTTTATCTCTCTGTGTTTCTGATGTGTATTTGATTATCCTTCCTCCCTCTGATTAGAGTATATATAGAGAGTGGTGGAGGCTGAGTTACACGTTTCGTGGATGTTGTTAAAGAAGCTTTGTGCGTCGATTAATTAATAGCCATGTGTTTGTGAGGAGCAGTTGTTGAATGCCGTTCACACGCGGCAAAACCAAGTCTTTTATCATATTCACTTGCTAAGTCCTTATTAAAAAACCTAAATAAAATATGAATCAAACTATTTTTTGTTATAAAATAATTATTGTTATTTTTTAAGATTTTAGGTTCGAGCGTAAAAAATATCAAATATATGAATATTTAATGTAAAATGATTGAGAATTATCTTTAAATAGATATTTACTCAAATTTTGATACTTCTGTAATACACATGATCTAAAATTAGATATTCTGAATTTGATTAAAATATTGATTTTTTATATTTCATATTTTAACTACTAAATCCTATTGCTTTGGTCAAATGTAAATATATGATTTAAATTTACTTACAAATGAAACTAATATCGCATTATCAGTTTTTGTTTGTTTTAGTATCTAAACTTTATTTTTTTTTATCAAAAACATACTTAAAGTTTAGATTTTGTTCAAAATTTAATGTTAATTTTGAATTTTTTTTGAACGTTTAGGTATTTAATTGGACAAAAAACTGATAATTTAAGTACTGAACGTGTTAAGTTTTTAACATTACGTATTAAAAATGAAACAAAAACTAAATGTTAGGTATGATTTTAAAAAATTAAAAATTTAAATACTAAAACGGACCAAAATTGATAATTTAAGTATTAAATGGTTACTTTACCCATATATTTAAACGTAACATAATATGTCCTATGTTGCGGAAGACGGCTATCGGATAGAGCAAAATCGCAACTGATAATTTGAGAAAATAAAAATGAAGATAAAAAGAGACACAAAATTTACGTGGAAAACCCCTAAATTAAATAGGGTAAAAACCACGGGCAACGGTAGAAGAATTTCACTATGAGAAAATAGGAATTACAACTTCTCTCAATCTACCAAGGAGAAAACAATGATAATTCTCTCTTGATAAAAAGGAGAAAACAACTCTTAAGAAACTCTCTAAATTCTCTCTAGTAGTGGAAGAAAGCTAGAATGCTTTGGGATGGTTTTGAAGCTAAATGAGCAAGGGTATTTATAGTTGAAACTTAAGGACTAATCTTATAAATACCCTAAAGTTTAGTGACTAAAGTTTATAATTTACCCATTTAATTTTCAAACATTATTGCACCTAATTTTGACATTGTTGCACCTAATTTTGACATTGCAATATTAGGTGCCTAACTTGAACCAATTTTCTGCCGCCCAAGCTTTGACATTTCAACAATCTCCCACTTGAAGATTTGATTGGAACAATCATATCTTCACACCATTCTTTCTACCTTGTACCATCATGTTGCTTACGTCTTTGACAGACCACAAGAGGATCGACACCAGGTAAATTTATCAGCGTTGATCACCTTCGTCATGAAATCTGCTATGTTGTCTTTGGTATGTATCTTCTGTATATCTATCGTTCCTTCTTCCACCTTTTCACGAATGAAATGGTACTAAACTCGTATGTTCTTAGTCCTTGAATGAAATGCTGGATTCCTTGCTAGATGCAAGGCGCTTTGACTGTCACAAAACAAAGAGACATACTCTTGATTGTGCCCAAGCTCCTCCAATAGCATCTTCAACCAAATTGCTTCTTTACTGGCTTGTGTAGCTGCTACATATTCTGCCTCTGTTGTGGACATAGCCACAACTGACTGCAATTTTGAAACCCAGCTTACAGCTCCACCAGCAACTTTGAACACATATCCTGTAGTAGATTTGCTTTTATCCAAATCCCCTGCATAGTCAGAATCTACATACCCATTGATTAGTAAGTTTGATCATCCGTAACATAATGCAACATTTGAGGTCCCTTTGATGTATCTTAGGATCCTCTTTACAATATTCCAATGCTCTTTGCCTGGATTCGCCATGTACCGACTAACCACTCCCACTGCTTGTGCAATGTCTGGTCTTGTGCATATCATAGCGAACATTAAACTTCCCACTACTGATGCATACGGTACTCGAGACATCTCCATCCTCTCTTCTTCACTGCTAGAACTCATACTGGAGGATAATTTGAAGTTAATAGGAAGAGGGGTAGAAATTTGCTTACAATCTTGCATGCTAAATCGTGGCAAGATTTTCTTCAAGTAATTCTTTTGTGAAAGCCAAATCTTCCTATTACTTCTGTCTCGGTGAATTTGCATCCCTAGAATCTTGTTTGCTGATCCCAAGTCCTTCATTTCAAATTCCCTAGCAAGTTGTGCCTTCAATTCTTCAATATTATCTTTGCTGGGTCCTGCAACCAACATGTCATCCACATACAACATCAATATAACAAAATCGTTATCACCAGACCTCTTGAAATAAGCACAAGGGTCTGCATTAAGTCTGTTGTATCCAAGGCACATAATGAAGGAATCAAATCTCTTATACCAACACCTCGGCGCCTTCTTTAGACCGTACAGAGATTTGTTCAACCTGCAAACCAAGTTCTTCTTTTCGTCTTCTTCAAAACCTTCAGGCTGGAGCATATAAATCTCTTCTTCAAGATTTCCATGAAAAAAAGCTGTTTTAACATCTAGTTGCTCTAGATGTAAGTTCAATGTAGCACACATTGCTAAAACTACTCGAACTGTTGTTAGTCGAACCACAAGAGAAAATATTTCATTGAAATCAATACCTTTCTTTTGAGCATATCTTTTGACCACCAGTCTTGCACGATACCTCTCAACTTGATCGTCACCATTTCGCTTGATTTTGAAGACCCATTTGTTACCAATTGGCTTCCTTCCTTGTGGTAGTGGCACAAGGTCCCATGTATTATTTTTATGAAGGGCTTCGATTTCTTCTTGCATCGCCATCACCCACAGTGAAGCATCTGAGCTGTTTATTGCCTCCTGGTATGTTGATGGCTCACCGTCTTCTGTTAAAAGGCAGTATGCAATATTACCTTCTATAACATAATCTGAGTGCCAATTGGGACGTCTTCTCACACGATCTGATTGACGAGTTGTTGGAGCTTCAGAACTCTCTGGTTCTTGTTCATCATGTGCTAGTTCTGCTTCAGAAGAATCTCCTTCTTCAAACTCTTTTTCCACATGTATCTGAGTAGTCTATGACTTTTCAGCGCTATCATCGCCTTCTTTTCTTTGTAGTTTATCTTCTACAAAGATAACATCCCTGCTAATGATCACTTTGCGAGCAATGGGATCCCACAAGCGATACCCCTTTACTCCATCAGCATACCCCAAGAATTTGCATTTCCTGGATTTTGGATCCAGCTTTGAAATTTCTTGGGCCTTGTACATCACGTACACAATACTTCCAAATACATGGAGGTTTGAATAATCAACTGGTTTACCAGTCCACATCTCCATTGGTATCTTCAGCTCTATTGCAGTTGATGGAGCTCGATTCACCAAATAACAGGCGGTATTGACTGCTTCTGTCCAGAATGATTTTTCTAGGCCTGCGTCCCTCAACATTGCTCTTGTTCTTTCTAACAAGGTTCTGTTCATCCGCTCTGCCACTCCATTTTGTTGAGGAGTGTTCGCCACTGTGAACTGTCTTTTGATGCATTCTTTCTTGCAAAAGTCATCAAATTCTTCGCTTGTGTATTCTCCTCCATTATCTGTTATGAAACACTCGATCTTATTTCCAGAATCAAGTTCCACCCGCGCTTTGAAGTTTTTGAAAGTTGAAAACACGTCTGACTTCTTCTTAATAGGGTGCACCCAACATCTCCTGGAGTAGTCATCAATAAATGAGACAAAGTATTTTGCTCCACCTAGGGATGTTATTGGTGCTTGCCATACGTCAGAGTGAACCAATTCTAGAACACTTTTGCCTCTAGAATTTGATGTGTTGGATTTCAACAGGTGCTGCTTACTTGTTATGCAATGCTCACACAAAATAAGTGATACATTTGTTAAGCCTGGAAGTAGCTTTTGCTCTACAAGGACTTTCATTCCTTGTTCTGACATGTGTCCAAGTTTCTTATGCCATACCATTGCAGAATCTGAACTACATGAGGCAACAAAGGCTTCTGCTTCTAACAATGTCTTTCCCTTCAGCATGTACAAGTTTGCAGCTATCTTTTCACCTTTCAGCACCACAAGCGCTCCACGGAACACCTTCATGATTCCTTTCCGTGTTTCAATCTTGCTAGCATTATTATCCAACAATCCGTAGGATAATAAATTTTTCTTCAGACCTTTCACGTGCCGCACATCTCGAACAACTTTAATTGTTCCATCATACATCTTCAATTTGATGGTTCCCACACCAACGATCTCTAAGGTATGATCATTGCAACTATACACAGATCCTCCTGAGACAGGTTCATAATGATGGAACCATTCTCTTCTTGAGGTCATGTGATATGTCGCTCCCGAATCAATGAGCCATATATCTGCAAATCTTTTTCTGCCTTCCATGGTGGTTGACGCTTCACATCATAGAACATCTCCATCATCTGAAGTGTTTGCAGTATTGCCTTGTGGATTGGAGTTTTTATTTAGACTCTAACAATCCTTTTTCAAGTGACCCTTCTTTCCACAGTGGTAGCACTTTAAATTCTTCTTGCTCCTCGACTTCGATCTACCATGTTTATGACTGCTGCTTTGGCCACATTCTGTTGATCTCCCTCTCATCGTTGTCAACGCTTCTGCTTGTTGCAGATTTACTTGTCTGTCTTCCTTGTTCTTGCGCCGATTTTCTTCTTGTAGAACAGCAGCTGCAACGTCATCGAAGACTAGACTGGTGACATTACTGTTTGTCAAGTTGATGATGAGTTGATCGTACGAATCCGGTAGACTTTGAAGTAGAAGTTCAGTACGTTCTTGTTCTCCTATTTTACAGCTTAAGGATGTAAGCTGAGAAAATAAGGTGTTCAGTGTATTTAAGTGCTTCGTCACTGAAGTAGATTCTGGCATACGAAGAGTGTACAATTTCCTCTTAAGAAAAATTTTATTGTGCAGCGATGTGGCCTCGTACAATTTGGTG